ATCGACCACCATTACTACGATGAGGCACTGTCGAAAATGCTCCCGAGAGAGCGCGGCCAAGATCACGGCGACCAGCTGACCCGGCCTCTCAGCCTCGACCAGCTGCTGCCGGCCTTCGTCGTGCTCGCCGCCGGGCACCTCCTCGGCGTGCTCGTCTTCGCCCTGGAGCTCCTGTGTCAGAGGTGGGCCGAACAGCGCGCCCCGCCGGTGCGCGTCTTTCTGCACTGAAGTGGCTCTGGTGCGGGATGGGTGGCCGACCCGGGCCGGCGCTGTGAGCTGCCCGGTTGTACCCGCACCATACAAAATCAAGTTCGGAAAGGATTAGAGTTTTTAAAAAAGTACAAAAAAAAAAAAAAAAAAATACTCGTGATATTCCGGAGAAGTTCCCCCTTAAGAAGAGAAGTTAAATGTTCCTTTTAAAAATCTTACTTTCGAATCGCATTTTTGGATTGAAGCAAGATTGCGTCGGTTCATCTGTCAGCCCGAAGAGGCGTGCTTGCAGAGGCTCTGGATTTTCGTTGACATTCCAGAAGAAGGGTCCGTAGGTCCAAAAGGGCCACTCCTGAGCGCTGACTGGTAGTCGACACGACGGACAGCACTAAAACAACGCCCCCACACCCCAAAAAACAACAACTACAACTGTTCGTGCTAAGGAATAGGGTCGTCGAATATCTGAAAGTATTGCCCTTTGGTCATCCAAAAAGTGCCTCACAAAATGGCCGAGTTTAGCCCATTGGAAGGTCTCGCATAGCGCCTTGGAGATAGGCCAAATCTTGTATGTAGTGCATGCGTGTACTGCGGGGTGGCCTACCCCGAGTATCGCAGGCGCCGTGTGCTATTATAAATTGCTGAAAGTTTGAATGAAGCTAAGAAAAAGGACTACATACTTTCTAAAAAAAATACTCGTTCTCCTCAACGCGAAATATATGAGGCGTTTGGTATGGTACGAGTAGTGAGTATCGTTACAGAACGATTAAGTTTCTGTTATTACAAATTTTTGGTGCAGGCGGAAGTAATTAACCACTGTTTTGAAATAAAAATTTGTTTCAGAAAATTTGGTGAATGTTGTTGGATTACAACATGTGTGTTGTTTTTTTACCAACATTGGTTGTTGTTACTATCTTTTCCTGTAAAATTTTCGATTTTTTTTTAACAGTGCTGTGTGCGTGTGCCGTGGTGGTTTCACCTGAGCCCGCCCGAGGGGGGTTGTGTGTGGCAGCACGTTCCGGTGCGGTGGGACACACTACTTGTTTAGCCTGTTCCACACCCTGCGACGTGCGTCAAGGGAGGACGGAGAGAAATACTCCTTCCCGACGGAAACACTATCGGTCGGGGCAGCCCCTACCCCGTGCTCCCAGTGCCGGCAGG